CATTCGCTGGCTGGGGAATTCTGGGTGTTGAAGTCCGGACATCTTCAAGTTGCCAAGGTTGGGAAACACTGGGTTAGAGGACCCTGAAATTCTAATTTCCTCTCAGCTATCCATTTGCACCGCAGTGAATAGAAATGTCCATGACATCCGCCTAGAGGTCATGTCACTTTGCTGGTACCCCAAATATCTCTTGTCTCAGGAGCTGATCGGAAACTTAAGTGGTCCTGCTCACCTTAGGGTATACCTCCCAACGGCCGATAAGATCACACAGGGTGGGCCTTCTCCAGGTGCCGTCAACCAGACAATGTCGACTGGCCGGTCCCCGGGGGAGGGCCTTCTCTGTAGCCGGTCCGACCCTATGGAATGAACGACCCCCAGAGATCCGGACCCTGCCCACTCTCATGGCCTTCCGGAAGGCTACCAAAACCTGGCTATTCTGGCAGGCCCCGGGCTGTTGACCTCATGACTGTGGTCCAGCCCCAACCAGATTGAGTGCATGATGTGGTTTTTAATCTGTTTTCTCTGCTTTTTAATTTTTTAATTCTTTTTAAATGTATTTTCTGTAAGCCGCCTGGAGTCCTTCGGGATTGGGCGGCCTATAAATTTATTAAATACTTAAATACCTTAATTGCTTTCTCCTTCAGCTTTTCTCCAGCTTTCCTTCCCTCAAAACCAACCACCCTTCTTCTTCTTGGCTTTTGCAGTGTCCACCTACCTACCACTGCTCCTGGAGAAGACCCACCTTTCTCCTTGACGGTCAGATATGCAACACACCGCACCCCAGGGATCGCCCAGGTGAGTCCGTGTGGTGGGGAACGACTTTAGGTTCTGTAGATCCAAAAACAGAGGTGGACACGTCTCCCATTTCGGGCTGCGGTTTGCGTAGACTTCTTACTTCCCTTCACCCTCAGCTTCAGCTTTCCCTGCTCTTCAGTTTTATGGACATCCCGTTGTAGATATACCTGCTTTTGGTTTTGCAGGTGTCATTTTCAGTCTCCTACAATCAGAGTCCTGGATCAGCCCAACTAGCAACTGATGTGAGTAAGCCCAGTGCAAGATTTTCGGACTGTCTGTTGAACATTTAATGGGTTTTTTTCTTTTGGCTGATTTCCCTGCGCAGATAAATGGTGGAAAGAAAATAAAAGCTAGGGCCAGTTGAGATTTAGAGAGTAGAGACCACCGTAACGCTAAAACTGCTGGTCCTTCAGGTTCTGGAAGGGTCTCCATTGCAGTAGGTCATGTTCTGTGAGGAGCATTTTATTCTTCTCACTAAGTAGAGGATGGGCCCATCTCTTCAGAAGAGCAGCCCCACCAGGAAGATGTTTTCAACCCTTTCGGCCATGTCACGTTTCCCTCACCCTGTAGCAGGGGTGGGTTTCAACCGGTTCGCGGCGGTCCCTGNAGTTGGGTAAAAGGCGTATACCAGCATGCCTTGATTCCATCCCCCCTGGAGCTGAAGGGGAGAACTCTTTATTATGTAAAGGGACTAGCTTAGGCTTTAATGGCTCATGGGCAAAGTGGGTGGGGGCAGGAAGCTGCAGGGAGAGTTTACTTTGTCTTTCTTGAAACACGTTTCTTCCTTTTCACATCCTGAGAAATATTCTGCCTTTTAGGGTATTTCATTTTTCTGGGAGAGGGCTGGGTGATAACTTCCTGCCCTGGTATCAGTGATCGTGTGAAAGCAGCATTTGCATTTGTGTGAACAAGAACTGCATTGAATTACAAATGAATATGTACAGAATCGTTTCCCCTTTTGTTCAGAGAGGAGGGGGTGATGCACCAGCAGAGTTAAATTAGGCATTTTCCAAATTTTTTTGACTTGCCAAGCCCAAAATGTTTGCTATCACCGCCCTACCTGCAGACTTCCCTTTACACCTGGCCTGCTAATTGAAGTTTCCTGGCCTTAATTCGCATTGTGGGTTAAGTAATCCTTGCAATGAATTCATTTTGTAGTGCAACATTCATATCACTCATTTACTCAGGCATCTCCCATTAGGTTTAATAGAAACTGTAAATGTGTGTAGCAACTATAGGTGTCCTTTAAATGTTTAAAGACACTGATCAGCTCCAGCCAGAGTGATCCAATGGGAAAGGAATGAGGAGTTATTGCTAAAATGTCTGGAGGGGACAAGGTAACTTTTTCCTCCCAGAGACAAGATTGCAGCCTCAGCCTACAATGTGGACTAAGGTTACTTTTTTTTCCCTCCAATCGCCCGACAGGATTCCTTTTTATACTTACAAAACAGCTGAAAATAACCAAAATTATACGTCTAAGGTCAGCTATATTAAAAACAGTTTACTGCCTAAGCAACTATTTTGTGTCTTCATATATTAAAACTATAAAATTATTTAAAACCAGACTGACTGAGTGGGAGTGGCTTGGCAGTCATGTGACTGGGTGGGCGTGGCCAACTTGTAAAATGTGGTGAA